AAAAAAAAAAAGAAGAATAATTTATCTTTTAGTCCCTACTTTTTTTAAAACTAATGATCAGTCTCTTTAGTTTCCATAATCATAAATCAATCCTTTAACCCTAATTTACTAATAAATGGGTAATCTTTTAATTTTTACCTAAGATAACATGCTATGTAAATAATTTTTTAATAAATAGATATCAAAGATGAAAATATTTGAAGCAACAAGGACTAGCTTATTATTTTCTTGAAAACATTAATAAAGAATTAAAAGAGATAAGCATTTTGTGCAATACACATGTATTGTGTAAAAAGAATAATTCACTATAAATTTCAATAGATTTTTTTTAGTTATCAATTTTTTTTTATTTATCAATGGAGTTATTTTTAGGTAAATTAAAAGTTAGTTGGTTCTAAGTTAGTAACAAATGAAAATACTAAAAGACAAGAGATCAAAGTGAAAAACAAGAAGAAAATAGGGGGTGGTTTCAAATTTTGATTGAAAAACTTCACTTTGATCCATTTATTTTTCAAGTGATAAACGTTTAGTCCCTTATATTTTCACAAATCTAGATTTGATCCAAAACATCATTTTTTTATTTTTAGTTTTTTAATTTGAGAGAGAGGAGTGTTGTTAAATTTCCAGCAATAAAAAAAAGAGTCTCGATTAATATTAATTCCAATCATAAAAAAATATTAATTTTAATATCAACAACTTCTATTTAATATTGAAAATTTCACCTAGGTCTTATTTATCCTCTCCCTATGCTAAAATGATATATTTGAGATTAGAAAGTTTTTTGAATTTAGGTTGATCTTTTGTTTGTGGACTAGTTTTTAAGTAACTTAAACATATAAACATTTTTGTTTTTATCAAGGTTTCTTGGATTTTTGTTTATTTTGGGTAAAGAAATGGATTGCATTTGAGGGGAGAAAAACTAAGGATGGATCTTTTGGTAACCCTTAGTTGTAAGGGTGAGAAAAAAACTAAGTAATAAAAAAATAATCAAAAAAGCCAGTTTAGTTAAGGGTAGGTTTTAGAATCCTAAAACCAATCAAGCCGAGCTGATTAAATTGAACCGTTAACAAAACCCAGGCATAAAATTATTTTTTCTTTTGATCAAAACCCTTATTTCTTCCATCAATCACCATCTACCTTTGATCTCTACCTCTCTTGTCTTTTCTAATGTAGTCGGGCTTCAAATAATGGGTGATTTTGAGCATTCATGTATGAATTTGTCATAACCAAATGAGTATATTCCTTAGAAAAATTACATTAATGACCTAACAAATATATTTATAGAGCAGTAAGACAGGTCTAGATCCTAATAGAGGTTTGGATATGCTAAATCAGAATAACAACTCAAAAGAATTATAACTTTTAATTCGATCGTTGGATTACACTTAAATTATTATAGGAGTTTTTGAAGGCTTTTTCCCTAAGAAAAGTTGTGGAATTGCTACTCATTTGGTTGGATCTTTAGATTTTAAAAATCTCATTCTAGGTTTGATAATTTTTTTTATTTTTCTTATTATTTTTGGATTTTATGCATTGTTTTGGATTTTATAGTTGTTTCTTATTATTTTTAAATTTTTATCTTTATTTTCTAAATGAGATAGATTGTCTTATCTATTTAAGGTTTTAAAAACCTTTTAATGAGACAAACTCATCATTATTATTTTAAAAATAATAAACTTATGAATTGAAAAATCACATCTTTAATCTTTTTCTTTCATAAAAAATTATGTATTTTTTATTTATTTTTATCTTTACTTCGACCTGCATCATCTTCAATCTGGAAATATCTCGCAACTGCCTCACCTCCCCCTCTATCTGTGGTCTTTTCTCTTTGCCTCAGTATAATGATGTAACCTCTCTTCTTCGTAAGTTTCTTCCCAAGCTTTATTTAGTGTTAGAGATTCTCATCCAAGGGATGATAAAACTTGTGTTCGTCTTATCTTTAATTTTCATCTAGTAAATAATAATAAATTACATCATGTTTATTTGTTATTTGTTAAGGTTCGCAATAACCTTTAAATATTCCTTTCTAAAATGGTATGTGTGGAGTTTGAATGTTCACATTAATCTTTTATCGACATGTTTTAACATTATCTCTTTAATTTAGTTAAATAAATATGTCCTTTGTTGGATTTGATTTTCCTAATGCTTTAAATTAACGCAAATGATGTCGATCGATGTGCAAGGTGAGTGTTTAATGTTTCTGCAATTAGCTTAAATGTTTTTTTTTTTTTTTTGTTGCTGATGCTTTTCCTCCTTGTTCAAAGGACTTTTGTTTTATATACAACAAAAGAATTGCATCAATTATATACTTGTTACTTAAGAATATAAACGAGAAATCTATTTTTCCATTTTATATATACATGACTAGCTACGTTGGGTTGTTTTCACTTTTTACAATATACATGAAAAATATGAAAAATATTAACAAGAATCCATTTTCAGTACACATTCACTCATTTTATTCCTCAACTTTATTTTTTTTATTAATATAAATATTTAAACCAATTTAAATGTATTTCAATTAATTTTATAGTTCTAAAATTAACAATCATATAAATCTTTAATGATTTTAAAAATATAAATGAATTCTAATCAATTAAACTATTTCTTAGAATTATAACTCTATCTTATCTTGATGTAAATCATGATATATATGTCAAAAAATCATCTCATCTAAAAATTTAAACTATTCGATAAGACTTTATGATATGATTTGTATTATTCTGTAACAGTATATCAGTTAAATTTTTAGTATTTTATAAAAATATTGTTAAAGTAGCTTATTTCTATCCATTAATTTCGTGTAGATACTTAAATTGTAATGTTATGAAGAATTTGTTGACAATTCTATAAGTGAAAACTAACAAGAATGGTTCTTGTTTACAGAAAACAATGAAATATGATGATGGCTACGACAATTATGATAAATGGTCACGAGGCATACAACTAAGACTTCTCTTGTTTTTGTGATTCTCTTGTCAGTGAGGATGAAACTACCAATCTGGATATAGAATATAGAAAGTGAACTAGCTAATGATGTGAAGTTACTTGGTTTTTTCTTTTTAATTATTTGTTGGATAAAGAAGGAATGAATTATTAGAAAAAAATAAAAAATAATAATTATGTTGGATTGTTACTAAAATAGTATGGTATTTCATGCAATTAAAAAAACCTCCAGTCCAATAAAAAAACTCAATTAAATTCAATTAAATTAACACAGGTGTAGCCAATTTTGAAAGGAAAAAATTGAGATGAACCAAGAAAAAAAATATAAATTTTGATTTTGTTGGTTTTTTAATTAATTAAATTGAATAAAAAATGTTTATCCTTACTTAGTTATTAAAAATCAAACTAGTGGATAATATATTATTTATATTTTTACTTTTAAAAAAATTAAAAGACACGATACCCACTATCTAATATTAAAAAAAAAAAAACATAATGCATGAGCTACATCTGTTATCATGAGCCAACTCATAAGCAAGTCTTTTTTTATAGATGAGACTTGTAGGTATGCCTAATAACTTGATTTTTTTTTTTGTTATTTATTTAATATAATTTCAATCGTTTAAAATTATATAAATATATATATATATAAAGGTTTTTTTTACCAATTTTTTTAAAAAATTAAGGTTATTTTTTATTTCAGTCCCATATGCCACCCCTATTTTTTTATTTTTTAAAAAACATATTTTATTGTTTGATATAAAAAAAAGTCTCATGCACCTAGTTAACGTATAATAAATAAAAATAATTTTAAAAATAAATCTTTTTAAACTTATTAGGGTATATGATCTAGATCACATATTTGATATGTTAACTCATGTTTACTTGAAGTTTTTTTTTAATTTTTTTAATTTTATTTTTTAATATAAAATTGATTGAGAATTAAATATTGTAATTTGTTTTGATTTATTTTCGAAGAAATTATTATTGTCTTATAACTCGAGTTATAAATATAGCTAGTTAACTCAAGTTTGTCCAAGCCAATTTAATATATTCTGACCTCAATATTGTTTTAAAAAATCATAGTCTAATATGTGTGAAATTTTAAATAAATGGCTATTTTTTATGATTTAAATTTTAAATTGGCTATTTTTTTCTCTTAGAAAACATATTAATAATATCTTAATATTTTTTTTTTGCATTCCAATAAAACATTATACAACCCTCTTTCTTTTCCTTTTTTTTATTATTATCCAATTTAATAAAAAAAATAATTTTAAAAAAATAAAATTATCAAATACAATAGATTCATGTTTATACAAATCTATCTCTTAATTTTCAATTAAATCCTTAGCTATTATCATGACTTTTTTATATTTATTATTTCATATATTTTTTTATCTAATTAATTAAATGCACATGTAAAGTTTTTAATTTACATTTTTTTTTGAAAAAAAATATATCAAGGGCACATGGTTAGTAGGAATTAAGTTAAAATTTACTCAAGAAGAATAACTGCTAGTGTGTTTTTTATGGTGGTACCCACATAGGATCTTTGACACGGACATGAATTTCATTTTCTGTTTCTATGCTGAGCTCTGCGCTGAACAGTACTGTTCTCCTCTCCCTTTGTTAGATTCTTTTCCTTTTCCTTCTTTTGATTTATTTATGTAGCAGTAGTTGTTTTCAAGTTAAAGAGAGACCCACTTATCAAATTTAACTAGGTTTGGACTTGTTTTTGTTTTTGAAGTTGTGGCCTTGTTCTTGTTTCTTTTTTATTTTATTTTTAATTACCATAGTTCTTGCCCATAATAAGCCATGAAAGAATGGCTAATTTTAACTTTAATCCGGGAAGTCTTTGATTCTCCTATGATGCTTTAAACTTCAAGTTGCTTGTGTTTTGAGCAACTTTTAATGTTGCAAAAATAAAATAAAATTGTCAATACCTCATTTGGGTAGGTGCCATTTTGTGTTGTGATGATTGCTTTAGGTAAGTGATGAATTTGGTATTTGGGTTTTGAGGGGTTTCGACAATTAAAGTTTGGTTCTTTGAGTTTTGAGTTAGAATGGAGGAGGTTGAGGAGGTACACAAGGCAGCTATTGAGAGCTGCAATAGAGTTATTGGCCTTTTGTGTCAGGAAAAAGATCAAGTCCAGGGTAGGAACTTAATGGTGGAAACTAGAGAGACTGTGTTTAAGTTTAAGAGATTTATATCTCTTTTAAGCACTGGTTTAGGTCATGGAAGAGTAAGAAAGATGAAGAAGCTTAGACCATCTTTGCCCCAAAACATCTTCCTAGATAGTCCTAATTGCAATACAATTTTATCGCCAAAACCTCTTCAAATGGTGCCTCCTAATTTTCTTGAAACCCCACTTACTGACATAGATGCTAAGTCTAAACCTTCTATCCAAATTTCCCAGAAAATGCTTCTTGAAAACCCAGTACTTGAGTTGAACTCAAATATCAGGCCCCCTGTGCAAATTATGCAAACAAAACCACCACAAAACTTCCAGCTTCTCCAACAGCATCGGCAGATACAGAGGATGCACTTTCAGCAGCTGCAACAAATGAATTATCAGGCTGATAGGGTGTATTCTAGGAGTAATGGTGGGATAAACCTTAAATTTGATGGGTCTACTTGCACACCAACCATGTCATCCACAAGATCATTCATGTCATCTCTAAGCATGGATGGTGCTGTGTCTAATTTTGATGGAGACTCTTTCCATTTGATTGGTATGCCTCACTCATCTGATCACATCTCACAACAAACAAGGAGGAGGTGTTCTGGTAGAGGAGAAGATGGGAATGCCAAATGTTCTAGTAGTGGTAGATGCCATTGTTCAAAGAGGAGGTAAGATTAAAATCCCATGTCATATTCTATATTTGTCCTTTTTGTTGATTTTATCTGTAATCACCTTTGTTTTTGTCTTAAGGAAACTGAGGGTGAAGAGATCTATCAAAGTTCCTGCAATTAGCAACAAGGTGGCACATATTCCTCCTGATGAGTATTCGTGGGCGAAGTATGGGCAAAAGCCAATTAAAGGCTCTCCGCATCCTAGGTAGGGACATCTGATTTAAGCTTCAATCCAATATCCTCATGTATGTGTAGTTCATGTTCTGCAGTTGGTCATTATGTTAAATTGTCTTAGTTGTCCTTTGTTTTGTTGGGACAACTTTTACATTTTCACCAGTCCGGGCATTTTTTTCCCTTTTCACTTGCCGACGTTATCCAGCATAATTGTATGCATCTTTGTGTTATGGTAAAAATGGCCGATTAATAAGTATCATAGTGCCTATTAATAGTACGAATGTTATTCATCACTGGAATTTACCTGGTTGAGCAGTCAGAAGCTGTCTTTCTGTGCTGCTAAAGTCGTAATTGTTTAGATAAGCATGTTTATCTGGTTCATCCAAAGCTATCTATAATGCAGGGGATACTATAAATGTAGCAGTCTGAGGGGTTGCCCGGCAAGGAAGCACGTTGAGAGATGCCTGGAAGACCCTTCAATGCTAATTGTAACCTATGAAGGTGAGCATAACCATTCCAGGTTGATCTCATCACAGTCTGCGCATACATGAAACATAGTGGATATCTTCATTGTTTACAAATCCAACCAGAACCATCTGGAGTTTCTTTGTGAATTACTACTGTAAATAACATGTGGTTCAAAGGTGAGATGGGATTTGATGGAACAAACTGTCATTAGTTGACCGGTTTTCCAAGTATTAAGCTTTTCGGTGAGTCTGGTTTGAACTGCTCTTATATAGGATAGGGATTACAAATTGTAAACTTGTAATCCCTTAAAACCAAGTTGTATTTTTTATCATTCTATTTGCAAATCAAAGGTTGTTTTTGTACTATGTTTTCCTCTGTTCATAGTTCTTGTAGGCAAAATAGGACAGCATATTTTTTTAATATAGTTTTTTGGGCTTTACATTATCCATATGGTGATGCGGCTAGCTCATGCCTTATCCTTGTGTTTGCGTTTCTCAGCGCTCTTCATAAAGTGTAATTAAATGCATGCTGTTTTATCTGCTACAAGCATGTCCTTGGCATCTTCAGAGAAATAAAGAGACTTGCTCATGATTGTACAGTGAAATAAAGAGATAAACAGGAATACTATTCACTTTTTAATAAGAGGCTGAATTGTTAAAAGCATTTCCTTTAATTTCTGTATCCAGCACAACTTAAAACCACTCGCCTGCTTTTCTAAAGCTGTCTACCCATAAATCGTTCTCATGACAAGTTTGGAGAGCTTGTATGGTCTGTAGCAACTCATAACCCTCTCTGAGCTGCTTTAAGCTCATTCATGATGAGACACTGAGCAACCTATCAATGCTCGCAGAGTGATTCATACTAGTTTGGGAACGTCAGCTATTATAATCTGGTAAACAGGCCATTTCTGCTGCTTTGCCAGGCTCCTCGTGGAGTAGAATTTACAAGTAAAATAACCTGTGGAATCTACAAATTGACACCTATATCCCATATTTGAGCAGCCTATTATGGGGACTACGAGCAGCAATGGCATTTTCTAAAGTTTTCATCTTGAAATCTGTTGAATTTGAAGAGTTCGGTATTCCTCCCCCAAAATCTGAGCTATTTACAGTTCATCAAACAGCTTAAATCATTATATGTTGCTTACTATCCTGCGGTCATACGAGCAGCTCCCTCTTCCGCGAATCGTTGGAAACCAGCCCGGGAAACATAAAATCAGAAGGAAAATCACTAAAAGAGAGTAGAACTTGATATTCCGTGCACATTGTTATCAGAAAGATTTGAGGACGTTATGATGCTTTTCTCAGCAAGTCCTAATGTGGCGTGGCAGCTTTCAAACGAAGCCCAAAGCAGAGAAAGCAACCCCATTAAAGCCTCGAGCAACGGGCAACTTTCCTTTCCACCGTGCCAAACCCAACCTATCAACAGCGAATTTTGCACGCACGCGTCAAGTTTTATTTGCAAATTAGTGAACTTCATATGATCCAGGTGGGGACCACTCCTGAATCACCTGACCGTGAGAGCTAAGAACCAAGAGCATTTTCTCCCGAACTGCTCGATCACTTCCCACCATGAAAATCGAGCTTCCATATCCCTGGCATGGCCCTCTCCCACACTGTCTCATTTCAGCCGTCAACAAAGCGTTACCTTATCCCCCACTCTCCAATTCTACCATATGACCGTAAGGACATTGTCAACCCTTAACCTTGGTACAGGGTTCCCAACTCACGGATGGCACACAACAAATTGTTCAGCTGTGTTCCATGAAACACTTTATAGCCTTTATTTGAAACTGGAATTCAGGTTCACGCATGTCTCTGTCTTGTGGTGGATGAGCCCAAACCAAAATTTGATTTTGTGGATAACATTAACCTGCTCCAGCTCTTAATAAGTTCAACAATCCTCTTTATGAACATGTTTTTGTTCAAAAAGGAAACTCAAAGTTATTCAATATGAGAGCTCAAGTTCGCGGGATATACAGGATACAATGGTGGAGATTTCAGGTGGATAGTCCTCAATCAACACCTACACACTACCCAAAGGCAAAGCTAATATGCTACGAGATAGCTGCCACATTGGAAGTAAAGGAAGAAAAAAGAACGATACTCCTTGATAACTGAGAAATAGAAGCCAGGGAATTCACTAAGGGCTCAGCCCTTTTTATGGCCATCGCCATCATGAAACTATCCAGTTCTCTTTATCAACATATTATTACTTGTGAGATTCATGCATAGTTCTGATTTTGGGTTTAGCAACTGTCCTAATCAATCTTCTGAAATCACCAGCAAAAGTTTTCCAAACAATAATTGAAAATACGTGTGAGAGAGAGCTGGAAAAGAGTATTTTGCAACAGCTTTCACTGATAATAAAGTGCAGAAAAATCCACAACCACCCAGATTAAGTTTCCCATTTCACTTGAGTGTGTTGCGCCAATACCAGGTCTTCCATGCTTAGTAGGCTTGTATGAAATTGATAATGACTAATCATCTCGGGCTTGATCTCAACTTGACTGAAGATTTTGCCGTTGTAAACTCCAATGATGCTTCCGATCATTTCAGGCACAGTGATCATACTCCAAAGATGGGTCCTGACCAGTGCCTGTCCCAATTTCTCCTTGAACTCCACAAAAGCTTTGTTGGCTGCTGCTGTCCAGGTAAAGCTTCTGCCTTTTAGACATTCAGTTATTGGACCATGGTAATGCTAAAATATCGAATAAACCTCCAGTAAAATGGTGCGAGACTGTTAAAGCTGCAAACCTCAGACACGATACAAGATGTCGGCCAATTTTGAATGGCTTGCATCTTGGCGGGATCAACTCTAATACTCTCTGATAAAGCCTAGAAGTATGGACTTTTTTCTTTAGGAATGAGCACTTGGTGTGATTAATATAAAGTTGTTCTGCCTTCAAGGTAGCCAGGACCTGTTCAATGTGAGATAGGTGATGCTGCAAACAATTACTGAAGGTTAAGCAACACATTTATTCAAGAAGGGTTTAAAAATTTGCGTCATAGCATGCATGAAGGTACTCAGTGCATTGGTTAATCCAAAGGGATGATGTCGCACCATGCTTTATTTATATACTCATATCCCAACGAGAACTGTACTAGACATCAATGCTTTACTGAAACTAAGTTTTTTTCATTGACCCAATTTATTTGATAAGGCAATGGGTGTTTTTCACTTTTCAGTTTCAACTGTTTTACTGTTGTTTTCGAGATGACATTCATATCACTATCATTATCAATGATTACGTTCAGTGCCCTATCCCCATGTTCTAACTGGGTATGGAATATATTGGTTTGCAACCACTCCTGACTTGCATGGGGTTTTTTTTTTATTTCCAGTTAATACTCGATGAATAACACAACTTGGCAGCTCCGAGGCATCGATTTGTTCCTCCTCTTCCTCCTGTGTAAGCTATGCTGCTTCCTCCTCCTCTGCTTTATTCATTATTGTTAATTCTCTTTCACATATAAAAGCCAATTTCTTATCTCTTGTGGGACACACTACGACATAATGTCTGAACCCCTTGCATTTGTAACATTATGGGCCGTCAATTGTAGCCTTTGCTCTTCCTATTTGTTCTCCTAACTATGAGCTTCTTAGTTTATCTTTTGGTGTTTATGGTTTTTGCATGCAAAAGCTTGTTGTGGGCCTTTTTTTTAAGTCCATTGGCATAAACTTCTTCCCACTCATGTTCTGCAGGTGCCTCTCCATACGTAATGCCAATTGGTATGCCTTATTCACGTTGCTTAGTCGTGCAGCCAACAACTCCTTATAGAGTTCACCATGTAATGTTTGCTGGTCCGTCTCCATAATTTGACTGCGGATAGTTAATTCATAGAAATGGTCTGTGTATTGGTCCACTATTAAGGAGTCTTACCTCAGTTGCAGCATTTCTTCAAACATCATTTGTTCATAATCAATAGGTAAGTATTTTCTTTTAGTCGTTCTTTCATCTCTTCCCAGTCTGAAATTACAGGGCGCTGGATCCGTGTAAGTTGCTCTTCCACGCTTTCCTACCAGGCTCGTGTATGTCCCTTCAACTTTAGTCTGACATATCGGGTTTTACAGTTTTCAGAGATGGCAAACCAATATAAATAATCCTTAATGATTGTCATCCAATCTTCAAAAGCATGCGAGTCTAGTTTGCCATAGAAGTCATGTACATCTACTTTCATTCTCTTGGTAAGTTCGTCGACGGGTTGATTGTCCATTATCCGCCTGTCATGGATACGTGGGAATTCTTCCTTATATTATTGAACATGAAGGTGACGAGGTTCAAGATCCCTGAAAGTTTCAACTTCCAAGTCCCCCCTTTCAATCCTCTCATTACCTTCTAATGAGTCCTCGTGGGGTTAGCCACGCCCCTTCTATTAGGAGATCTTACTCCTTCTCGTTCCTGTCATTTATCCATGACATCCATGTAGCTAGAAAGTTATTCTAGTATATGGGTGATTTGGGTGAGTTGTTGTCGGTAGTTTTGTTATTGGAATTTTGCATGTTCACGTGGGGGATTGCTGATAACATGGTTGTCTGACATGGTATATGATTTACCACTTTGGGTTATAGTCATGAACAACTCTGATATCAAATTGATGTAAAGCCACCTAGGTCACCCTCTTGTTGAACTGAGCAAAAAAAAATTAATAGTACAAAATCTCTCTGTAAAGGGAATCGCTCCAAATTCTATTATATAGAATGAATGGTTTCAAAGAAAACAATAATGTCCTCTTTGTTCTGTTCTCCTCTTTTTAAATGCTTTCTAACTAAAGAATAATAATTCAATTCGTAAACTTAATTAAATCTTAATTTGTCTAGGAACTAACATTGCAGCTAACTAGTATAAACTCCACAGCTAATAAGTTTATAACATAATTAGGTTTTCCTTATTCTACAAGTCTTCTATGTTTGGTAGACTTGTGGTTTAAGCTTCATCTCCCACTACTTCTGAATTGCTCACTCTGGCTTCTCACCAAGTGAGGCCTTCCTTTTCTACTCCAACCCACTAAAAAACCCAACAGACATCAGTCTATATTCAAAATATAACAAGCATCAAAACCCATATTGTGGATGTTAATAACATAAATCTCAAATTCCCTTACTAGGCAACTGTGATTTAGGAGGCAGCTTGATAATCTCTTTTCTAAAGGGTCAAAAGCACACAAATTAATCAATTTATCACAGGCAAGTCCCAAATACAGATGATGCACAATTCTTTTCATCACTTATTTTATATAGCTTTATTAATGAAAATTGACAATCTAGTGATCAACACATGTGGTTGTATGCAAGAAAGGGAATATAAATTTGCACATACACAGTTACACTAAAATAATTTTTCCAGAATGGTCACAGCACAGAG